TTTTATTTTTAGAATGCTATTAATAAGTCTGACTGTCACAGTTGGGTCTCTTTTTCTTCCTGGAGATTTCATGCAGTTGAAAAAATTATTCAGAATAATTAATATCTACACAATTGTGGATTCTTTGGGACTTTTTCTACTTCTGTTGCCAAATGGAAGAATGAAATACCAGGAACACAGATATTATTAGGTGGTTCTTCAGGCAGTCAGATTGTAAGGGACAATATGGACAAAAGTAATAAATTCATAATGAAAAGCTGAACACGGACACCAAGCCCTGTGTCTGCACTTGATAGCTCCTGAGGCTGGAAATTTCTTTTTTCCCCTTCTAACCAAGAGGAAGAATCAGTGACAAAATCTTTTCAGTTCACAGGTGCAGAATCAGAGCAAGGCAGGAAAGCCAAATGCTCTTCAGGAAAAGGTCTTAACTTGCCACTGGAGAAGTCTGGAAAAGGGGAATGGTTCTTTTCTGTGAGCTTGATGAGGAACTGGGCCAAAATCGAAGTGTTTCCCTGAGAGCTGTGGAGGATGCAGTTCAGCCATGAAATAAAACTCACCTGACAGTGCTGGCCATGACATTACCAGGCAGATGAAAACGAAGACAGACAGATAAAATTAATTTTGCCTGTAATCTATAACAATTACAGATTCTCTAAGATTTACAAACGCTAATAAAGAATGGGAATTATAATAAATATATATTCTAAAAGGGATATAAGGATTATAGATTTCAGACAATAAATATGGATCTCTGTGCACAAGATGTGCACCTGAAATGCTGCTTTCTGCTTTTTGGGTTGTTTTGTTTGTTTGTTTTTTTGAAAACAGCTGAGTACAGACAGCTGGCTGAGAGAAATTACAATTATCTTGCCTTCCCATTTTCCTATCTTCAACAGACAGTGGGGGGAAAAGGAGAAAGAAATATGCCAGATGTGTTTCTAGCATGTTAATTTTGAAGGAAAATGCAATAAATGTTGACATTTTGGCATTCAGACATTGCTTTGGCTAGGGTCTAAGTGGTGGAATGTCAACATTCTTCACTTTCTCCTAGTAAAACACTTGCTTTAAAATGTAAATTAAGACCAAAGAGCTTTTCCTTCATGTTAGCTTGCCAAAACATCTGGATTTGTGTTTACACTGGTTGGCATCATAGGGTTATCCTTCAAAAGAACATATTTTTATTTTCTGATTTGTAACGGAACCTCTTGAACATAAAGTGCTTTCCAGAGTAATGCAATATTGTCTGACTATGGGAGTAATCTTAAATATAAAGTCAAAAAGTAGTAGCTGAATCTATAGGAAACTAATGTGAAAGCAGGTAAAATATGGAATGATACAGAGCAAATGCTAACTCCCTCTGAGGCTCAAAAAACCACTCCAAACCAGGTAATGCTCATACAGGATTCACTTCATCAGATGATGATTAACTTTAATGCTTAAAGGAATCAATTCTAAAATTACTTTTTTTTCTGCTATTGCAGAAAGTAAATCTAGCACTTTTTCCTTTTTTGTTTTCATATCTGTGTTTGCAAGAACGCATGTAGCAGAAAAGGACTGTTGCAGCTAATTTTGTGTATTGATAATTGTATTTCCATGGTTACAAGAGCTATCGGTTGGTGTCCCATACACCTGATGTGTTTACACAGCAGGTAGCATGACTAAAAATTACTATCAGAAAGCAAAAGTAAGAAAGCAGACAAAAATAATTTAGAAAAGCCAAAATTTTCTCAGTGACTTTCAGCCTCACTCCAAGGTCCATCTGCCTTCAAAATACCAGTGTATTTGTACTTATTCTTTTTCCATCTCTATATTCATTACAGCTTAACTGAGACAAGTATTTTTCATTCATGGCTAGACTTTGTTGGAAAATTAGGCTAAACAGCCTTGTAATGGTGACAGTATAAAGTCGTTACTGATTTGTTTCTTAAGACCCTTTAAAATAATCATTAGCTAAACCAAAACAATAAACCCAATGCTGCAATCCCTCTTTGAAATAAAGTTTATTAACAAGAAAAATACACTATGTGAAAAAGATTTTTTTTTGAGAGAGAGAGCAGTATTATTGGCTTATTCATTTAGTGAGTACAAACACTGCAGGATTTGGAGTTTTTTTCCATCCCCAAGATATTCCTTACAGCATTTTAGTGTGCTTAATGTACATTCTTGTGTACACATTCTTGTGTATAAATTCTTGTATATAAAAATCAGGAGTATGCTGCTGGGGTCTGTCAGTCCATCTGTTTATTTTACACATGTGTATTTATATGAGGAATATTTTAGTTATTGCACTTCACATCAGTGAAAAATTGATGTCCCAGTGCGTTTTTATACAGTTGATCTTCTATTACTGTTACAGCCAGAGCAGGGACTGTAAAAAGGGCTTTGTTTATGAGCATACCAGTTCCTGTGTGTCTTCAAGTCAGTGGGAAGTTACAGTATTGGCTCTGTAGTTCAGGATTGTGTTTTACAGTCTTTGCCCTAGGGACACCAGCGCCTATTTCTCCAGTTTCTAACATGCTGTATCTTGAAAGAATTCCATAAACCCCTGTCTCAGTTTATTAGGAGCACTCTAATCAATATAAGACTTTGGGCATCTTGATTCAAAGACAGTGAGACTCTCTCCATCTGTTAAGTGGCCTAAGGCTGTGAAGTATAGGAGATTATTTTTCTTACTGTGAAGTAGTCAACAAGGCATGTGTGAGGGACACCAGCAGTGCAACACACAGAGACACTTGTCCCACTTGCAGGACTTGATTTGAGGCAAAGAAATTGATAAAGAATTCAAATTAAATCAGACACAGCTCAACTGGAACATCTGCTGCAGATAAAGAGGGGGTCACACATTTCTGCAGTTCTTTTATTGTGAGTTTTGTGTTGCTGTTACTATTCACTCCCTGGAAACGAGTGAAATTGGAGGAGATTTTCTTGCTTAATTCTTGGGTTCTTTTTTGTTTTTTTCATGTTGGTGTCTTTCTTTTAGAAACTACCATTACATATTGGTACATACATGTTGGGCAAAGTAAACAAAAACTTCAAACACACCCTATGTTTGAACCCATGGCAGCCTGGGCATGCAACAGGAGCTGCAGTGTTTTGAAAGTGCTCACAAAGCAGAAGTGACATTTTTCCAATGTACAGATATAGAATATATATCTATATAAAGATCTGCTGCTGTGTGCAGCTCTTTGGCTTCAACATACCATGTCAGAAATTACAGCTGGAGATCTTTTAGGAGTTTTTAAGCATCCTACATTTTTTGGACTGATCTACTGAATGATATGTAGGGTCAGCAATCTGATCAGGTGAGAGACCACAGTGAAGTAATTAATTGTCTGTGTACCTCGTTGTGCCTTTTGTAGCTCGACTTCACTATATTTCTGTTTCTTGTCATGATGCTTGAGACGAGTTTCCTCTGATTTCTCTGAATATCCTTTCCGTAGAGCACAGATACAAACGGGTTGAAATGGATGCTGAAAAAAATCAACAATGGCAAAATCAAAAGTTGGTGATGTTAGAGCATTTATAAACACAGTAACTGCAGAATCAAAAGAGGGAAAAAAAAAAAGCAGTGAGGGGAACTGCTCTTTTGATAAAGGAAAATCTAACGACAAAATTCACCCCCAGCCACCAGGTCAGAAAAACACCAGCCCTCAGACCTTATCAGAGCACAGCCTCTCGTCCTCTCTGCAGCACCACCTCCCCGACTCCTTGAGGCAGGATTATCTACTTCAGTGTTTTAATTTCCCTTAAAAATGTCATCAGAAGCCAGAATACTCAATATGAAAATTCCCTAGATCTCATTAATCAGTACTTTAATGAAAATCCTTGTAGAGATGAATGCTCCCGAATGATTTGGTAAGTGATAGACAGATTTCCTGGGTAATTTCAGGGTAAAATGCTTATTAATCTCTCAACATTTGTGATACCTCCTCCCAAAGTCTGGCCACTTTGTGTCACTTGTGAAGCGAATCAACTATTCCTCTCAGCTGAAAGAGTTTCACTATATTAAAAAAATTAGCATCTCTTTATAACTCAAGTGCCCTTTTCTGTGTTTATTTAGTTAATTAACATCATCTTCACCTCAGCAAGGCAAAATCCCTCATTTTGGTAAAATCCCCTGACCTGTTCTCCCATGAAATGTCTGTTTCACAAAGTCTTTTACAAACCAGTCTGTCATAAAAGCAGATTTGGGGTAAACCTCACCTACACCTTCCACTTAAATGTGCTGTGTGAAATAGTTACTCCAAGGCTCTTCTACCTACCTTATTTTCCTTTACCAAGGGCTCATTCTTTCAGAAAAGGTGATAAATTATCAGTAATGAGAGACTTTAAAGGTAATTTTTCATTTATATATATATAAAGGGATATAAGGGGGAAACAACAGTGAGGGGAGAAAAGGCACGGTACTACAGCTTTTCCAAATCAAATTATTATCTCTACATATTTTACAGCCCTAAAGACGGAAGGCTTGCAAACGAGATGTATTTCTATGCAATAGCATAAAATGATGCAATTCAGGCAATCTTAAGAAAGTGGTCTTCTACAATTCCCCCAGAACCCAGTAAAAATCCTCCAGGATATTATCTTTCTCAATTCAAGGTGATGTGGGTGAAGGTATTATTTTCAGTAACCTAAAGGAAAAATGAGTTCATTCCGTGTAAAACTGATTGTGTCACGCTCTGGAAGCTAAAGAAAGAATGTTCTGAGGGCCCCACAAAAAATTTTGTCAGAATAAATGAAATGCCGCCCTCTTCTGATTAAATTTTCACTTGCAACGGAAGAAGAGGTCCGAGGAGAAGACAAAAATGAGCTAAAAATAGAGCTTGGCAGGTGGATGAACTGCAGGGAAAATGCAGGGTGGATGAACTGGGGAAAATCCATAATGTCTGTATGGCAAATAATGTCCCACATCAAAGCAGAAGATATGGCGAGCCTGAATAAAAGCAAGCTGCACTGTACCTGTGTATTTTGGGGTAATTTATTTAGGCATGGAACTTCTTGCTTCTCCAGTTTCGTGCATATGAAGCTTTTTAAATGTTCAAAACCAACCCAAACCCAGGAAAAGCAAGTGCACTGGAGACCTGTCAAGCACAAATACCCATTTGAGCTGCCAACTGCTCAAAGTGTGAGTGTGCTGCAAGTATCACATGCCTTTGTTTGATGCCCTCTCCTAAATATTTTTTCTCTGGTAACTATCAGTGACTAATTTCTGGCATTCTTGGTTCTTTTTGTTAATAAAGTATTTCTCTAATTGCAAAATGTGAGTGGGACACTGGTCTTCAGTTAAAGCATTTTGCAGACCTACAAGCATAAAAAGATTCAAAAATCAGACCACGGAGAAATACGAACACGTTGAGCCACTGCTCTGATGAGTTTGACTATCTTGATGGTAAGTTCCTCACAGATTATTTCATACCAGACTGACACACAGGGCTGTCACAGCTGTAAATTACAATTTACATTATATTTACACTGTATTACTAGATATAATGTAAATTATATATAATTTAAATTTTGTATATATATATACACTAAATATTTACATTATTAAATTACACTACTTATATTACATTACTATAATTTTCACATACTCTAAAAATCCACTGAATGTGGATGCTTGAGTCAAGGTTTCATTTGGCCTTTTTCACCTGTCCTCTTAGAGATTTCTATGAACTCACCTTCAATAGTGATCCCTTTAGCAGTTTGAATTTGTCTTTCTGCATCATCAGGACATTTTCAGCAGAATTTAATGCATTTTTCTTCATCTCCAGGCAGCGCAGTATGTGGTAGATCTACTTCTGACACATTCACAGGTGTTACTCTGTGAAGCAGAATTGTTTTACACAAGCTATGGCTCCAATACTCATGGAATAGTTGGTTGCTTTACTCACTCATGTCTTGATTTTTTTTTTAAGGTAAGTATTTTAAATACACAGCAATATGTAAATGGCATGCACATACCTAATTTCCTGTTCTAAAAAAAAATGAAAGTACTTAGCAGAAAAGCTTTCAAGCAATTCATCCACATATAAAACTTCATTCTTCGTTAATTTACCTTGCATAATGCTTCCACTTACATGCTTTTAAGCTGAGTAAAATGATCTTTCTACCCATTGCTGAAACTTTGAGTTTTAGAGCTAAAGTAAAAATATGTGTAAAAGGCTATTTGTATAATTACAGAACTAAAAATGCAGAATAATGGCACTGCTGTAAGAGCCACTGGGCTGCTCAGAGCTGATAATGCTGCAAGCATTTATCTTGCTGCAGCTTGCTTTCTGTCAGTGGAGAAAACATGTTAAAACATAAAGAGATTATTAAATTAATCACAAAAACAGATGCTTGCACGCTTTGTTGCTATAAACAATAGCAGTACTGGCAGGAGGTGCAGTCCTAACTTCCAGATTATGCCAGAAAAATCAATTTTGTAAAATCAGCTACTTCAAATGAAGTAAAGCATCTTCCTGTACTTGTACAAATCTTTACATATAATCATGTAACTCAGTTAAAGGAAATGAGGGGAATGGTTTAATTTAAGTAAAAAATTGTACATCTGCTTACTCTGAAGCATTTATCAGTGTTTGTTCATATTTAAGTTGTGATGGTGGAAAGACCAATGAGTCTTTCCACCAAGTATTCTGCTTGGGCAATAAATTTTGATGGATTTACATTAGATTATATACCAAACACTTGCAAAATTTCTTCCAGCACGTTTCCAGCAAAGCATGACCACCATGATGAAATAGAAGACTGCCCATTGGTCTCAGCCACACTCGTGTTAAGGAGTTATTTTCTATTAGAATCATTAATATTTTTGTAATCTTACCTGTAGAAAAAAAGGGTGCTAAATAATAAAAAGGCACAAACCGAAGAATGATGGCTGGACCTGAAATGTTCTACCATATTATGAGCTTTTACACTTTTCTGCAACGTGTTTTGCACCAAGAGCTGCTGGTCCTTTGTCATCATTGCAAGAAACACACTTGAACTAGAAAGCAGGATTTAAAATTATGTTTTTAGAGTTTAGACTATCAAAAGACAATAACCTCACACCTCTTTAGGTGCTCTGAGTCTTGAGAGTATAGCATTGAACACAGCACTCCGTGCAGGCTGCATCCAGAGCTGAGAATCTCTCTTGTTTATTGTTTTCTTACAGGGAAACAACTCCTTTCATCATTTCTACAGTCAATTGAACATCATGAATGTTCATGTGGGTCCTGAAAAAGCACTGCCTGTGTGTCCTTAGTGCTAAATCATCTCAAAAGGTTCTGATTTGTTTGCTTGTTTGTAGGAGCTGATGAAACACAAGATAAAGTGACAACTGACCAAGCAGCAAAGGTCTGCTCTGAGGCAACGACTGCAAAAAGGGGAGGCAAATATTTACACCAAACAATGTGGAGAAAATGTGCACCACATTAAGTCAAGCTTGGATGCAGCCAGTTTCTGGGAATAATTTATTAAAGCTCTTGTGGAATATGAGAAATATATAGAACTGAAAGGATTATGCTAATTTACCTTTTACATAAAGGAGCAATCTCTTCCATGCAAACCAGGTGTTTTTCTGGAAGCCAATAAATCTCATTCTCGTTCCTGTGATTTTGGCTGGGAGACTGTTTTTTGTCTTTGTAGTCAGAACTGCTGACTGTAATTCACATTGTATCAGTGGTACTGGTTGTGGGAAATAGAAAAGGTAGAAAACTCTCAGAAGCTGTGTGAAAGGAAAACTCAGAACAGAAAAATACAAGAATACAGACACAAGAAACAATAAGGCTGTGTTTTTAAGCTGTGTGGAGATAGGCCTTAGAAAATGTGTTAAGGAAGAGAATAGAAAAATGCAAGCTTAATAATGAAGCTTTATCCATTGTTTTTAAGCTAACAACAAGCACGCATTGTTAATAGCAAGGTGTACACGTAACTTCAGTAACTGGCTTAAGCAAATGCCTGTAAGCTTTAAACAGTAACCTATTAGTTAGAAATCTTTTAAAAAGAGCCTGTAATGAAGAGAATTTTGGGTGGTGTTGTTACGGCCAGAGCTTTCACCATCTCCTGTGTGTCACCCTGTGATGAGGCTGATACACTGAAATAAAAGCTCTAAGTCCGCCATACCTGCAGCCCCGTTATTAATATAAAGATCCAACAGAAATGGTGCCCTGTTTCGTTTTAAGAAACAAATTTGACTAGCTGCCAACCTCCTGGAAATCCCCAAATAGATATAAAAAATAAGATCTGTTGCAAGAAGCAGAAAATACTCGCCTGAGCCTGAGCCTGCAGCACATGCCAGGATGGAGCTGGAGAAGATATCCTGCTGAAAGATGCAAGGTGAACTGAAGATGGGACAGGAACTGCTCCGTTCAGAAACTGGACGTTTATCAAAGGCTAAAGACAATTATAGAAACTAAACTTCATATTAGTATTCACAAAAATTAATCAAGAGACGTCCTGACCTGTGTCAGCACCACTTTCCCAACTGCAGACCCCATGTCTTCTCTCACATATGAGTTCTGGGACTTGGCTAACCGGAGACTTCATAATGCATTCACTCACCATCGAGATCACAGCACGGGAAAACTCTTACCTGCCTGCCGTTCAATGTTGAACATTTTTCACCAGCCCACCCCACCCGCGGCTTCCCCCGCACCCCAGAATGGATCATCAGTTCCCGCCGTGTCGGGGATCGTCCCCTCGTCTCCACTTGCGCCTTCGGGGGAATCTCCATTGCCTCCTCCGACCCTCCGTTTGGTTTCTGGGATGCTTCCGCCATTCCGCTCGGTTCCTTTGATCCCCCCGTGCCGCTGCCGGCCGCTTCCCCGCCGCCCCTCAGCAAAGCCGGCCCCGCCACCCCTCAGAGGCTCCGGCCCGGCCCGGCCCGGCCTGGCCTGACCCTGCCGCCCCTCAGCAAACCCGGCCCGGCCCCGTCGCCCCTCAGCAAACCCGGCCCGGCCCGGCCTGG